TTTAAGCATTGGTTTAAGACATACTTAAGTTTAGTGCAAGTGGACATAAGACCTCTAAATTTCAATGCAGGGGCTTTGTTGTCACAACTGAATATACATATACAATTATAATTTATAATAATACGTTATGTAATTTACATAGAGTTTAGAGCAAAAGGAAATCTGATAGTGTAGAACAGTAGCTGATTCATAGGACGATTACCTTACACATTTAATTTCCCCCGTTTTGGGTTATTATTAAGAGTATTAGTAATACATCCTCAAACGGCTTTGGTTGATACCTTATAACAGTGAAAGTGTTGAATCAAACGCTTCGGAAAATATATATATTAAAATCGAGGATATACACTGATCAGTATACGGAGTGTAGACACGATTCCAATAAAATTTCACGATAGAAAAAACAGAAACTTCTTCGAAATTTTACAAGAAAACCGCTCAATAGGGCTTTACATATACCAATGATTTTTTTGTATATATTAACTGAACTAAATAGATTACGTATAGTATACGATATACATTTTTCGAATGGCTTTGTATGCAAAAAAATAAATTATGAAATAAAGCCAGTGTCCCTTCCGCTCGACGCGCGCAATAGAACCGATTCAGTATGGGAAAAACTTAAATTCGAGTTGAGATAGTAGCGACTCTTAGGACAGAGAGGTCCTAGTATCTTGTCTAAATTTTCATTATTTCAATTAATTTTGACTTGAATGAAAACAGAACGATAACAATATTATTATTTTTTCAGTTCTCATTCCCTTAGTAAAACAGCTGTAGCAAAAGCACCTACTGTGGTAAGCATTACCACAGTAGGTGCTTTTGCTACAGCTTTAGGTACTTAGGTATAATATTATTTTGATTCCAATCATAAGAGGGAATTATCACAGAATAACTGATTATGCAACTTTGTTAAAAATAGTTTTTTTTTAACTTTCAGCTCAATTGTTGTGGTAGGGACAGCTATGTGGATTACAACGGTATACAATTCCCAGACAATAGCACTGTCTTCTACAGGAAGAATGATACAGATATGTTCTTGATCGAACTTCCGAGGACCTGCTGCCGGTTAGCTGAGGGACGATTGTGTAGCGAGATATGGAGCAATGGGTGTAAAAATGCAGTGGCTAGAAGTCTTTTACATAATTCTAATCGTATCGGTACCTTAGGAGTGGCAGCTGCGTTTGTTCAGGCAAGTTGTTTTAGAAATTTACTATTAGCTTTTAATACGTACAGCTTAGATTTGAAATACAGAATTGAACGAAACTATATACCACTCAACACCAAAAGTGGGTAAGAGTCTAGTGACCTACTAATATAGGTCTCGGTAACCAAGTACAGACCTCGGCCTCCCGCAAAGGGATATCACTGAACACTCTTTATTAACATATTGATTTTGTTACAATATTAAGTGACGGGTCGAACTAGTCGTGTGCCTGGTGGTGAGCGACAAGCCTGTCCTTAACAGTTGCAGTGCCACCCAGATCCTTAAATCACAAAGATCTGGGGGGCACTGCCACTGCACCCGACATCCTGAGACTAAGTTAACAAGTCCCACGAGCCTGTAATTTCACCAGCACCCTTACGTTTCGAAACCGGGACGCCGTAATGCTCACATTACTGCTTGATGGCAGAAATAGGTAAGGTGACAGTACTTCCCTGAACTAACTTATTTACAAGGACCTCTACTCGTATTGCTATTTTATTGAACATCATGATATTTTAGTACCATATTTATTTATTTTTGCGTAATCACTCATTAGTTTGTTATAATTATTAATACAAAGATCGAACACAAAGAATTTTGTATTAATTGACACTTTTGTATTGCAGTAATTACTATCTTTATTATTGCTATCTGAAAATTAAAATTTGAATACATACAGGCATGAACGCGTCCATAAAAATACTTACATGAAAATGCAGAGATGTACTGCAAAACGTAACGAGACCCAATGGCATTCATTCCCTAGAAAGCTACCACAGACTTCGATAAACTGCTGCAATCACTAAAATAAAAAATTATCTTCGAAACTCTTTAGATGGTATACCGTTGCAGAATTGTACAAGTAAACGTGTTTCGCATTCCATGGGATCCCCTCATCAGATTCCGACTTCTTGGTGACAACTCCTTTGTACATATTATACTTTTTATCTGGTGGTCATGGTGACAGCGATTTGTTGATTACATGTATTATGTCAAGTGAAAAGTCACCACCTGAGAATGAACCCTTTCAAACAAGAAAAGGACGGGACATTGGCGAAATCGCCATTTTTTTTGTATAATTTTTATAATAATATTAAACTACCGTACATAGTTATTTTTACTTCACATTGGCAATATCATTGATTATTTCGATGGGGCCATAACATTTAAACGAAGAAGAAGAAGAAGAAGAAGAAACAAGAAAAGAATTTTCAAAATCGGTCCACAATGGACGGAGAAATAGGAAAATATACATAAAACATACTACAGCAGTATTATTACCTCTTCTTTTTTTGAAGTCGTATAAAAAAGTAAAGTAATTTGAAACTCATAATCATAATTTTACTTTTCCAGCTCCTAGGCACAATCTTCGCACTGAACCTAGCTCGTTGGATTGGCAAATTTAAAAGCGGAATGCCGTCCGTGACGTCGAATACAAACGATCAGATCATTTTGGCTCGTCACGGTGAAACTAAGACGACTAACAAAGAGACGACAGAAGAAAAGTGTATCGACCCTGATTCGAGTATATCTTAAATTGTATTATCAATTTTACTATCTAGTGCAACGCGGGGTTGCATCGCTGAATCAATTTAATGAATTTCCTGTCTTATAACATACCATGCAGGTAGGTTTGTATTATATAATGACAGTTGAGTATCATTACACCAATATATTGAGAAATGGTGAAGACAAATTTTATTTTAAATTTATTGAATATCACGATGTAAGTACCACCATGATATTCAATTATTTTATTATGAAATTACTCCACTAGCTTGTTATAATTATTAATACAAAGAAAAATTCATTCGATCGGGCTGGATTCAACCCAGTCAACGGTATGGTAAAGGCGCTGCTTCGAATCTAGCCCGATCGATTTTTTTTTCTTTGTTTTCGATCTTTGTTGATTAATAACTTTATGCTCTAAGATTAACAATTACGACAAATTTTATTTTATATCAAAAGATTTGTAATCAAGTAAAGCTTATGATAAAGTTATTATTTTTAATGTTATCAAAACAAATGTTTCCTAATCAAATGGAATCGATTTACGTTAAACGCGATATCTCGAGTTTTAATTATGTTTAAAACATTTACGCAAAATGTGGAGAGATATAAACTGTTTCATTAGACAACATTTTAAACTAGCGGTATGAATCAATACACTCATAAAAATACTTAGGACTAGGTAGTCATCTTAGAGGATGGAAAAAATAAAAGAAAGGAGCTGCCCTAACTACCGAATCAACGTGCATATAACCAAAATTTGAAAGTTACAAATGGCGGATTTCTTTAGTGTTGTACCATAATCTATCGATAAGTCATTATCGTCATGCTTGGCTTGAATGTTGAAACTGTTTTTTTTATTTCTTTAGTTTACTGTAACCAAAGTATGCCTAAACAAACACAAGTCTAATAATTTAATCTCGAGTGGTATATTATTATAAATGTCAACACACATTTTTAAGCTTTTTTTAAAATTTATTTTCAAGATTACAACTGGTAACTTATTTAGTAAAAGTCACCAAACTGCTGTGCAGTTTGATGGCGACATGTGCATTCTTACTTAATTATACCTACTTTACTGGTATATAACATTACATAGTATTAATTGTACTTACTAAATAAAATATAAACATTACTTTAACGATGGCAAGGCAAGGCAAATAGGCTGTCTATACGTTGGTATTGGCCTTTTACCCGGCAACGTTGGACTAACATGTCATTGTATTGCAGGCTTTAAAAAAATAGTCATTTTTAATAGTTAGAGTTGTCATTGGGAAAAATCAGAAACGAGTGGAAAATTTTGTTTTCAGGAACTGAGAATAACTAGTAAATGAGTCTTGTTTAATCTAAATTGAACATAAAATGATTTATCAATAAACCTAATGATGGAATAGCATTGTCATGTAATCTAGTTACATTCAAAGATTTGTTAAAATTTGACTCTTCTAAATGAAGCGAACAAACGAAGATGATCTTTAATCCTACGTTTATATTCGGCAGTCCTATGATTTCCAACCATTCTTTCTTCCTTTTTTCATTTGTAGGAAAACTTGAAATAATAAAAAAAAATAAAACAATAGCAACCTCGTAGTGAATTGTTTTAATAACAGAATATCGATAATATGTATGCTTACAAGATCAACACTATCTCAAAATAATCGTTAACAACAATCATCAACATATACTAACAAACAGGCAATCTAAAATAACAAAAGTAAAATTTAGTAAGATTTATAAATAAACTACTTAAATAAGTCTAATTACATGAAATATTTGGGCTATTGTGTGATTTATGGACAAACAAATAACACATGCCTGTGCAATGTAACATTCGATTGATTTGCACTTTTTCTAAAGCCACATCCCTTAATGTTGCAACGCCGCATATTTATTAATACCTAATTATTCTCACTGTCAATATTTTTGTCCAATTTAATTATAATACATGCGAATAATTCAATAAAATACTTGGAAAAACATTTGTTTTGACATTTAATGTACTTTCCTTTGACAACGGTATCATGTACCTCATGTACTCCGAAATGGACACGGTTGGCATTTAAGATGACGTTACGTATTTTCGATTCCTGTGTTTGACACAGACCAATGTAATGCTATCTCTTTTGGCTTAAGACGGCACGTAATAGTTAAACAAAGACATGTTTATGTTTTCGACGTCGAAATGCATCATATACATATAACGTCTGATTTATGTATGTCAACGTAACATGTCCTTTATTTTCCATAGTCTAAGGTAGTCATAGTAGTTTTATGAATGTTAGGCAACCAAAGTATTACTTAGAAGAAAACGCTAAGAAATTTTATTTCAGATGAAGTAATAAACCAAAAGGTGAATCCGATATTTTTAGAAAAAAGTCACTTTTGGCACCCGATCTTAAATAGGAATGAATTGACTCTCTGGGTCGTATTCCAGAACTCCACTCAATGCTCAAGTCAGGATTTGAGCAGACTTGAGCATTGAGTAGAGTTCTAGAATACGACCCATACATCACAAATGTCATTTTTTACTGAAAAAACAAGCTTATTAACGTGGCCTTCTTTTTTTGTACCCCCAGAGCGGACTGTAAATTTATTATAGTTTTAAAAATAAAACACATGTAGTTATTGCGGTATAGATATTTTATACCGGTGTCTGTCGGTCACATAGCGGTTGGATTCTGGATGCATCACCCAAAGGACTGCTGTAGATGATACCTGTTGAGATAAATTTGTATCCGGCAACTGTCCACCTAAATTCAAATTAAACATCTTTATTTTATAGATGGAGAAAAAATATATATTGGCTGACTTAACCTCGAATTAACCTCCTATGTGAACCAGTCATTTATGGCAATAAAAATTAGCACGTTTTGACGGTATACGGAATTTTTTTTATCATGTCCATGGCTCTACAAACATAATATATTTGTATAACCTGTCCGCATCCTAGACACACTGTGCCCTTAACGATTTTGGTAGTGTAGCGTTCTAGAACCACATGGCGTCTCTAATGCGCAGCTATGTTTTCACCCACAATAAAAAATAAATAAATTTATTTAAAAAAATCGTTAGGGTCTAACGCGTGACGGATTAAGCTACCTTATGTAACCCCCCTTAAACAGAGAAAAAAAACTTGTCTGTTGCTTAATAACTCATATATGTAAGTATTTGAATGTAATTAAGTATACTTTTTTCTAAAAATCAAAAAGAATCGTCAACATAACAAAGATTGACTGATAGTATATAAAACTTACTGATAAATTGGTAATAATATGAATCATTATTTCGATCAATACTGTATGTACCTATTTACTGATAATGGACCAATATATAACCAAAATATGTAAGTGTGAAGATAAAACAGTTTTATCAGAGATTATCTTCAAAATGTTGGCATTATGAATGCTTATAATTCAGATTCATAAAAAAGTTTACTTTTAAAAATGTATGCAATTAATCTACATCACATAAGATACTAAACGTAGATTTATAGAATATTTTGAATAGGTCTAAGAATAAATAATGCCAATACAAACATGTTTTGCATAAATGTGTAGTAGCATGCAAATGTCTAGTTTTACAATATCAATTAGACTACCAAAACAATAAGAATGTCACAAACATGTCAGTCAATGACAGATTAAATATGTCAAAAATGATAAACATCAAGATAAAATCTTACTTTTCCTCCATAGAACTGTCTTCAGTTTTGAACCACCTAAGAGACTCTACACCTGGAATCGATGGTATCCCATACTCTTTTATTAAGAACATCTCAAATTCTTCGAAAACTGTCCTACTTAATATTATCAATAAAGTCTTTGAAAATGGTGATATTCCACACTCCTGGAAACTTCAAGTTGTTATCCCTATTCTTGAACCAGGTAAGGATCCAAGGGATCCTGCCTCATATAGACCCATTGCGCTGTCATCAGTATTATGCAAAATATTGGAACACCTCATCAAAAATAGATTAGAGTGGATATTGGAGAGCAAAGGATTTCTATCCAGGTCGCAGTTCGGACTCCGTAAGGGTATGGGCACTCTTGACAGCCTCAGTACCTTTTCTACGGAGATCAGACTCGCACTCACCAGAGGATTGTACTTTGTTGGTGTCTTCCTGGACGTGACAGCCGCTTATGACAATGTTCATCTCCCGCTACTCAGGCAAAAAATGCATCAGCTGAGTCTACCAGTGAGGATGATTAACATCATTTATAACATGCTAATGTCTCGCTCCATCTCAGTACGTATCAATGGTTCTCTTCTCCCCCCCAGAATGATATGGAAGGGACTCCCACAAGGTTCTGTCTTGAGCCCCATTCTATATAGTCTATACACTGCTGACCTTGATAAATCTGTTGACTGCTTCTGTGATATTCTACAATATGCAGACGATTTAGCACTCTATTATTCCTCAGAGTCTCTTGATGAATGCACTATCCAACTAAATACTGCCATTAGATACTTGCAAGATTGGCTCACTAATCACTGCCTTCTCCTATCACCCAGTAAAAGCTCAATAGTAGTATTCACAAGGAAAAGACGTGTCCCACATATACAAATTTTCCTAAATGATGAACTGATCCCTGTACACGACAGGTTAAGTTTCTAGGCTTCTTTTTTGATTCCCACATGACTGGAATCCCTCACCTAAATTATATTAAAAATAAATGTGAAAAGGGTATAAATATTATTAGAGCTCTGTGTGGAGTATGGTGGGGAGCCCACCCTTATACCCAAAAATTGATCTATAATGCTGTAATAAGGAGTCATTTTGATTACGCTTCATTTTTATTAGAACCCTGTAACAAATCCGCTGTTAACTATTGGGATAATATACAGGCTAGATGTCTTCGTGTTATATTAGGAGCGATGAAATCATCTCCAATCAATGCCATGCAGGTTGAGAGCTTAGATCCCCCGTTATGTTTCCGTCGTCAGTACTTATGCGACCGTTTCTTTTTCAAAATCTTACAAAATTCTGCCCACCCCTTACTTGCCCCCTTGACTCAACTAGCGAACCTTGTTACAACTTCTAAATACTGGGAACATAAGAGCCCTCCATGCCTTTTAAAAAGCTTTAACAAATCTCTCATCGGCCCCCCTATCAATCAATACTCTGGTAATCCATTGTTTTTAATTGATTTTGATGCACTAATTTTTAAACCCAATATTGTTACCAATTTAGGAATTGTCAAAGATGACCCTAACGCTGGAATACTTTTTAATAAAATCGTTAATGAGAAATGGAACGGTTGGCTCAATATCTTTACAGATGCTTCCAAATCCACCACAGATGATTTTGTTGGCTCTGCCGTCTGGATCCCCACATTTAATATCTCCTTAACTTTTAAATCTCCCTCTAAAGCGTCCGTATATTCGGGTGAGGTGATCGCTGTTTTTGAGGCAGTTTCATATGTTGAATCCCACAAATTAGACAAATCTGTAATTTTTACAGACTCGTAGCTGCCTGGACGATCTGTTAAAATTCCCCTTTCGTAGCAAAGATGTTCACCCAATCAATCTTAAAACAAAAGAGCTTCTTTACAATTGCTCTAACTTTGGCATACAAATTGTTCTTGTTTGGGTTCCTGGACACTCTGGCATTCCTGGGAACGAACAAGCGAATAGAGGGGCTAAATGGGCCATTCATTCTGGTACCATTATATATGATAAATGTTTTTCTCAAGACTTACGCTCCCAGGCTAAGATTGATTTACACAATAACTGGAAGACTTACTGGTCGTCTTCTAGCAGACAAAAAGGCAAATATTATGCTGGTCTTCAACCAGTAATACCCAAGAAACCATGGTTTTTCGAGTTCCGCGAGGCCAGTAAAAGAACAACTTCAACTATCATCCGATTGCGCCTAGGACATAACTGCAGACCCACTTTTCTTGCTAAGCTCAGGATAAGGGATCACTCCCTTTGCGAGTGCGGTCTTGAAGAAGGAACTCTTGACCATATATTTTTTAACTGTGCATTATATCCCAGATCTTCTTCCAGATTGTATCCCTCGTCCTACAAATTTTTATAGTATCCTTTCTCCCCTAAAACCTCCTCTACTATTTACTCTATTTAAATATATTGAACAAAATAACATACGGTTATAACTTTTACTATGTGTACAGCATGTGTTTACGCTTTTCATCCAAAGTAGCTAGTCAAATAACCCCGTGTTTTGTCTTTGTCCATAGGATGGTGCAACCGATCATCGTCGTTTGAGTGAATCTTGATAAATATACCGTGTATCTTTCAACCCGGACACTGGCAAAATTGTCCTCAGTGGGACAGAAGCCAAATACCCAAAAAAAAATAAAAAAAAAATAAAATAAAATCTTACTCATTTTCTGTGAAATATTTCATTTATGTCATAAAGATTATTAATGTATGTGAATACCCCTTTTATCCTTGATCTCTATGAATTTATATCCAGCTATAATATAAGACTACAAAGTGCTCTCCATCAGCTCCTGTTATTGCATTTGTAAGCCCTCAGGTCTCCACTCCAACACCAAAATCCAAAATTCTCTGCATGAGCCTATTCTCTCTCACAAAGTATTCCCAACTTATTGAATCTCGTTAGAACTAATAAAATTTACTTAGTGGAACACTTGATGCTGGCGAAATCCTAAAAGGGCACCGCCAATAAGAGATGGAAAAAAATATTTGTATTTAACCACATGTACAACTTCATTCAAAATAAACTTAAGTGTAATAGTTTAATCTCAAGTGGTATTTTATTATATAGTTCAACACATACTTTTAAACAACTTTTACTGTATTTAGCAGTTATAGGAATATTGTCAAGTAGAAGTCTGTGCGGGTTTCTGCAGACTCTAGTATTCACATCACTTGCTTTTTTAAACAAATACATCAGTTTTCGTGCCAACCACACAGTGTCGTGATGAACCCATTTATACTGACAGATCCCGAAAACTATGGTACCATAACAAAGCCACATTCCAGTGCCTACTGTATATAATATCCCATGTCCCATGCTGCTATCCAAGGGGACCGGTAACTGGATTCAGAAGGTCTATATAATAAATACTTTTGCAATTTACAGACAGCTCTATGCAGAGTGTGCATGGGTAAGGACCTAGACGGCGAGTTGCAGACACAACAAGTCTTAAATATCACACAAAATGATGTGGCAAATCCAAAATCTGACTAACCATATGACTTGAGTCAGAGACATGTGTTTTTAGATCATACTTACTTATATGATCCCAAAACTGTTTACCTCTTTCCCTTATCTCGTCACCTATGCCTTCATGAACTCCATTTTTTAAGTATGGTGGAGTAAACTCTCTATATGCTATGCATACTCTTCTTGATATGATGTCTTCCCGTAAAACACAGTGTTCCCAGTGGTAGCGAGGTTCCCCATAGATAACTAAGAGTGATCGTCTGAAATAAACAGTAACACTTAATTCAATGTACTTTTTACACATGATGAATAAAAAGTTGTAATATATGGAATTGAGTATGGGGATATAAGTGGACGTGAATATTAGACTCACTTCCATACAAAACATAATCATAAGTCTCTAGATGTGAAATCACAAACTGAATAGAGGAGACCTGTAATAAAACAAACAATGCATATTAACTTACTCACATGCACATATAACAAACTAAACCAGAAGCAACATGTTTTTTTTATATAATAATCATACAGAATGATTATTGTTTATGTCACATATAGAAGGGAGTCTACTTTTCAATTCCAAATGTATGTTTCATAATGTTCCTTTGTCAATGTTTCTTTTTTTGAAGGTTTGTAATCCCAAAAAAGATTACTATGATAAAATAGTTTAGTAGGAACTGTAATTTCTTAACCCATTCCGCGCCCTAATGATTTTGGTAGTGTAATGTCCAAAATAATTAGAGCCAAATGGTGTCTCTAATGCATGTCTGTGTTTACTTCTAGCATTTATTGAAAAAATCATTTATAAAAAACTTAATATATATTTTTAAGAGAATCTTTATTAAAATCGTTAAGGACACCGTATGTCTCTAGAGTGCATGATGGGTTAAATTGTAAAAAAGAAGAACGTGTGTTTAGTAAAAAGAGCAAGTTTTAACTGCCTCTGTAGCCAAACAGTTACAATGCTGGCCAGCCACACAGAGATCCCAGGTTCGATTCCCAGGCAGGGAGACATATTTGTATCGTGATTTATATATTATTTATACCTAATTCATGGTTGTGTATGTGTGTCCATGGCACCCGAGACACAGGGTTTCCCTAGTACGGGGCTATGTTGAGTGTGTGTGTGTTATTATTATTAGTAGAGTACAATTTATAAATTTAAATATAAAATTACCTTGGCATTGGTATCCTTAATATAGCATCAATTTTCTGTTTTGGTCGACATGCTTCTAAAGCACTATTTGTCTCTATGTTATCTACGATAATATTGTTATATGTATTTAATACAGAGCTATAATAGTCTGCACAATCTAAGTTGTATTTCTTTGTATCTCCTTCGTAGGGAGTCATGGTGAGTACAGAGTCTGATAAACAATTGACTGTCACTATCCGCTCGCCCCAAATCCAGCAATCATCAATATGAGGGTCTATAGATGCGCCCTTACTTGGGTCATACTCTAATGAACATTGTTCGATAGTTTCATAGCTTTTAAGAATGTCTACGTTTTGAAATCTGTCTTGTATGAATTTCGAAAACGCGGGAAAGCCATCAAATTTGCCAGTTACTACTTTTTTCTTTTTGAAATTAGTTTTAGGACCGAAATTCTGCTTACGACGACCGCTCTGAGAAATATCCCATGGAATTTCATCAATTTGCTTTAAAAAACTTAATTCTTCTTCTTCGGTGATAAAATCCAGCTCTATATACACACCGGGATAATCAATAGCTTCACCTTGATGGTTAGGATGTTCTTTATAACTATCCATCGTCCAACCCTTCCAGGCTTTGTCACAATATGGGCAGTAAACATATCCTTTGGATTTGTCGAAGTCCAGCTGAAGTTTGTGTTTATCGGCGCCGTACTGTGTTTCACAGATAAGACAGGTTCTGCAACCTTTGCAGCCACATGGACGAGGTTTTGTCATTATTATACAGTACGTATATATGTTCAAGAAATGTGAAAACTGTATTAAACAAATATTGTCTCAATCGGCACACCAATTCAATCCAATCAATGTAAAAAATGTAGAGGTTATGTTAGAAACATGTTTTGTTTTTATCTTATTTTTTTTCCATCCTATATGGTGTTTACAGACATTGCGAATGTTTCACTACTTTCACTCGTATAAAGGTTTATTTTTTAGAATATACCACCAACTCTAACTTAAAGTTTGATCCGTGCAATCAACGTACGGAAGGTGTAAGCGACACTTTTTCCAGTTTTACATTTACAGGAACGCTAGCCGGTGACGTTTCATTATATTATAGGGATGCCTAATATGATTACATTTTTGTGAAAATCGATTCAATTGAATACGACCTTGCGATATTTTTTATAATATTGTAGATTCAATATTAATGCGAATAGAATCGTTTCATAATTTAAACAATAGTCTCATCTTATTTACGATTTCGTCAAGTACAGAAACGGAAAATAAAGAGGAAGACAATGCTTTGGACATTATGTTATATGACATTATTATTGAAAAGTTTAGTTAGATGTAAAGGATTGGCATCTGTGAAAAGCATAAATAAATATAATTATTTTGGCTAATTGCCATATTATTACATTTCTTTTTCATATAATAAAGATTTAATTATTACAAATATTGAAACGATTTTTGTGAGATCGATTCAAGAGCATACGATCCACGGACTTGTATATTAAACTGGACCGTGCACTAATAAAACGAGCCGAGTGAGAGGCTTCAAAGTAGTAGAGGTGGGCGTTTAAACGAAAAGCACTTAAAAAAGTCTGCTTTTTAAAATAAACGCATAAGCGCTCTTTTCATTTTAAGCATAAGCGTTGGTCACTGGTCAGTTCCAAAGATACTTAATAATTTCATTTTTTACAACGTGCCGTGCCTAGATTTCAAGTAGCGCCATCTATGTTTCCCAAACAAATTAATTCAACATAACGTTGCAAACTTTTTTGAACATAAAAGTTTATGCGCTTAAATGTTTTTCTAAGCGATTTTGTTAGCTTAAACTAAAAAGCGTTTATGTGAAAAAGTGTTTAAAAAAGCACACTTTATTAAAAAAGCATAACGTTTAAGCGTTTAAAAAAATAAGCAGCTTTTTCCATCTCTACAAAGTAGTAATGCGTTTCTTTCTAATAGGATGTTCATTTATGTTTCAGCCAGCCATATTGTTTGTAACTTTTTAATTTTTACAGATAATGTGGCCGCTTATGGATGAACAAAAGTACTAATATTATTTCATAATACAAATTAGTTTACTTATTTGATATGCTACTTCATAATAGGAGGTTTTATTGTTGATATATATTTTTTGTATTATTACAGTAAAAGCATATTACCTTTAAGCTAATTTTATTTAAGCGAAATTTAAAAAGTTGATAGACTAAACTCTACCTATAATGATTTTATTTAGCGTTGGCAACTTGTTAGACAAGGATCGACCACTACTTCGAGCTATCTCACGTGACTCGGTTTTTTACTTTTACTTAAAATAAACCTTAACCTAACCGAATAAGGTGTAAATTTGTAATATTGGTATATCGAAGTGCGCGATCCAGTGTATGAAATATATGAATCCGTGATACGGTCTTAGCCGTGAATCGATTCAGAGGCCTGAGATTTATTACGATCCAAAAAATCGATTCAAATCTAAAAATCGTGCATCCTGCATTTGATATTACAGTTTTCTATGGTAAATCTGTTAGATGGAATTTTCGTTTATAGAATTCTTGACATCAATGAATTTAAGGAGAGTTTTCTGCTGTCTGTAATCAATTGCATAAAGTTTTTACCAAATTGTTCCGTCTGCATATTATCTACGTCAAAATGTATTTGGGAAACTTGGGAAATATTTGAGAAATAAAAAATACATATATTTTATTAAAAATTTTATTTATTTGCAGAATTGTTTTAAAC